ACACCCTGTTTATGGATGCTCATTAGAGGCCAGATGCATTCTGTCTAGGGAAGTCCTGTTTTCCTACCAGGCTCCATAAGTTCAGAGTCCTCAGAACCTTCTGTCTCATCATTTTGGAGGTCACAGTATATGAACTGTTGATTCAGAATACTCTTATTTAAAGGGATTAAGAGCAAAATCATTCCTAAGTCAATTAACCATGGTCGTGACTTGAGAGCATGAATTTAGGGTACCCTGAATAACATATTCCAACATAGAGATAGCCCCGTGAAGTTTTTATAGTTTTAAAACATCATAAATCAAGGCATTTATTCAAATGCAATGGTGGAAACATCATGCAGATAGGCAATAACATGCAGGAACTCTGGGGTAGGCCTCAAATGCTATCAGATGAGGTTCTTAGCTTTTGGACTGGTGGAAGCTAATGGCCATTTAAGCTAATTTATTCCAGCAGGTTTGACCTGATAGTCACCAAAACATTAGGTAAGACTCAAGTGGGCAATGAATCGCTCTTGAAGTGAATAAAGATAGCCCAACACAATTGAGCTCTACAGTTTAACATCCAAGCTCTCCACAAATTAGGAACTTCTAATCAGTTGATCAGCCTAACAAAGTATTTGGAAACATCTTATAGAGAAACTGGACTCAACTTTGATAACGTCTGGTGAGGAACCCATTCTGGAGGTAGGGCAAGCCAGACAACTAGCTATGAAAGACAGCGGCTGTGCGCATGCTTCCATCTTTTGTTTCTTCCCACCGTGCTGTCAATAAGTACTCACCAAGCATCTGTACTTTAGTCTCCTGGACTCTGTCTCCCAGTTTGGCCCTCAAGGGGCCTCCGTGCATTGTTTGAGGCCACAGGAGCCTGGCATACAGTGAGAAATGCAGGTCTTCCATGGGTGGATCTACTGTCACAAACTGTAAAGCCTTTCTTGGAAGAAAAGAGTAAGATCCAAAAGGCAGGTGACAGAATTAATCAGAGGCAATCTCCTAAAAGCAGTGACATGTGTGTTCTGAGGGGTGAGCAGGAGTGACCCGAGAGAGATGCCTTCCAGAGGGGTTGTAGCCTGGGCACCCGCCCCACGAGAGGGCAGTAATTGCAGCCTCTCAATGACAGTCCTGAGTGAGCAACAGGACACAGCAGAGGCTGGACAGTGTGGGATCCTCTGGACTCGATTCAGTCCTCGCCAGTGGAGGAACATCCTGTGCTCACCTTCTGATGTTGCCCTGGCTCAGAACATGTGCTGATTTCATGTGGATGTGCAGAGTGAATGGACCCACTCAATGTCAGAGTTCCCAGGATGTTCTTTTAAAAATTGCTGAGTTATCGCCATATAATACCATTGAAATTTAAGTTTCACAAGGATGCGTTTTGAAGACATTTGTCTAAACAAACAGTTATTCTGTTCCTGATTTGAAACAGCAACACCCACTTACATGATATATACACATAGACACATGTCCACATGCATAAAAGCGTGCTCTGCCGTGGGTGTGCTTACACCGCTCCCTGATCTCATGTCCAGAAGTACATGATTTAGTCCATGATTAAGAGAGCAGAGCAGATTCTAGTTATATTCCCTGAATGTGAAGACTCAGTTGAGCCCAGGCACAGAGCTACAAGCCCGAAGGGTAGCTGTAGCTACCATCATTCCCAACTATGGACCTTAGTCAGATAAGTTTCTTAATTTTTCTGAGTTCCTGATTCAACATCTATAAAATGGGACTAATGGAGCTTGTCAGAGTTTTTGTAATGCTAAAACAGCCCTGCCCAACACACAGAGACACACACAGTTGGGGTGGGGGAAGCCAGAGAGAAGATCCCAAGACCTAATGAACTGTGTTGGTTTTGATTGTCATATGGTGAGCCAGTACATGGCACCTCTGGGTCTTTTCCTCAGCCTGGGACTTTCAAGGTCTCTCAGCTTTCACCTGAGGTTTTTACTGTTTAAGCCGAACTTCCGCCAGGGCTGTTTTTCCCCCCACGGTCTGTATTTTGCTTTTTCCAAGAGCAGACCGCTGTGAAGGCCCTGGGCGCCCTCTGCTGGCTAAGGCCGTGCAGGGCTGTGGTCATTGTGCAGACAGCCAGGAAGATTTGTTACCTGGGAGACTAGCTTCATTCTGTGCTTCATTCTCGCCTGTGTGCCTTCCTCTCAGTTTAACGTGGCTCCTCCCTTCCTTCTGCTCCTTCCTCATGAGTTTCATCAGGTTAATCTCTTTAAGGCCTTTTCTGGAAGTTCCCGGGGAAATATTTATGCAATTTAACCCGTGTTTCCTGCAATTTGGGGTTACCCACGTACATCTTTCAGTTGTCCACTGATGGATTTCAGATCTCCCCAAAATCCTAATACTGGCTTGGCCAGAAAGCACAGGAGTTGGAGGAGGGGGATTAGGATACTAGTGGGTGTGACTTCCCTCTGCTGCAGTTTTAAAAACATAGACGGAAGTTGATGGATATAGAGAAAACCTCCCATCCTAAGGCAGCAAAGTAAGTTAAAGGAAATTTTCCTCCAAGGCCTGGCTACCAAATGTGCTCAGACTGTAGATCAGTGGAGGACACGTCACATGTGGTGGTGCCCCTTCTCCCTGCTGTGACTGTGCCCACCTCAGGGTGAGGACCGCTGGGGTGAGGGAGAGCAGAGTTGCTGTGCATTTGGGTTGTACAAGGCCACAGCCCCTTCTCTCCGCTGAGGCCTGCTGGTGTCTGGGAACCCATGGGCAATGAGGCCTTTATAAGAAGACTTCAGTCTGTGTGTGTTGAGGCAGGGCTTGGGATACTCACATTTCCTGAAATGAGAATTATGGACTCTGGGGCCAGACTACCTAAGACCTCACACCTACCAATTGTGTGGCCTTGACTTGTCAAGTTTCTTTTAAATTAAAGTTTTTATGTACCTGGCGTACAGTAGGTACTAAATAACATCATTTCCACTTTTCCACTATAGCAAGCAGGGAAACTTTCATGATCCTCATTTTATATATGAGAAAATTGAGGTTTGTGAACTTTGCCCCTGATTACTCAGGAAGGATGCCATGGGGGGGGGGGCAACAATGGAGGCCAGTGTTCAGGACCATCAACCCCTCATCAAAGTTAGTTTCTCCTACCTACAAAACAAGTGCTTGAGGTCACATCAGGAAGGGGTTCTCACAATCCTACCAATGCCTGCCAACAAACTCACCAGCAGTGTGCATGGCCAGTGTGATCTCTCTCAACTGGCCGGGGAGACGAGCCTGTGTTTCTGTCCATGGCCCTCACCCCAGGGCTCTGCAGTCAGAATCTGGTCCATCTCCCTTCACATCTGAGAAAAGGTCTGAGCCCAGCAGCCACCTTGCCGGTTTTATTGTGTGTGTAGCGTTTCCACTGCCTGGAAAGCTGTCTTCCACATTCCCAGTGCTGTTCTGGGCTCCCAGATATGTAGACTACGTGGCTCCACAGAGTGACATTGGGCACACACAAATTACTATGCTATATGGCAAGAGTGGCTAGGAAACTCACCATAGTGCACACGCATCCCCTGAAGAGAGGCCCAGGCTCTGCTAGACCTGGCTGTAAATTCTATCCTCATTAACCTAGAATCTTATTGCTACTTATTTGTGATTTAAACACAATCCTAGCTCAAGAGTCACGGTGAAGATTAAGTATTCAGGTATTCATAGAGCCTAGCAAACTAAGGATGCCATGAATAACAGAGATGGCAGACAGAGTGATGGGGAAGATGATGGGGATGCTGGAGATGTTGGAGGTGATGAGAACATCACCTCTGGACCGAGCACCCAGGAACATCTTCACTAACAAATGGATTGGTGATGGACTTTGGATGTGTATAGGGGGTGGTGTGGGCATGTGCAGTAAAGACATAAAGGTGACCTGGCTTGAAGTTTTCCAGCTGCTTCTGGATGGCCTGGAATCCAGGCTTCAAGGCATCATGTATTTTTGGTTTTGACACTGATTTTCATTTCCAGTTGCTGTGACAGGTGGCAAAACGAAGGTATAAGCAGCCTCCTGTTTTTGTTATCTCCCTCCCTTCCTCCTCCCTGTCTAGCCTATAACTAGTATCGCTAACTCCAACCATGAGGCGATCTTACGAGTCAGGATAGATAGGAAAATGCCCTTGGTCCCCTGCTCGCCAGCTGGCTGCCACACTTCCTGCTTGCACATTCCCAGTATCAGCAAGCTTCGCGTCTCGTGACTGTCTGTTCCATCTTTAGGTCAGCCTATTGTCTGGAATAATGCTGTCTGTGTCCTTTTCCTGCACTCTCTGCCTTCTCTGTCCTATAGATAGATAAACTATATCTATGCAGGATTCTGTGTTCCCGGGTTTCACGGAGGTTTGTCTTGTGATACTTTGCAGGCAGGCCTCTATGAAGGCAGGGCAGAGCCAAGAGCACTAGCCTGGGGGTAAAGACAATGGGCATGTCTCCAGTCTACTGGTGGTTGTTAAATAATACATCCTGTTTCTCCAGGCCTCGGTTTTGCCCCTTTGTATAAGCTGAAGTATCTTTAGTATTCATTCTAGCTTAACACACATGCGGCTTTTAAGTTTTCCTTTCTTCAGCTTAGCCTTGCTCCCTACTTCAAACCCTTCGTGCTCTGCTCAGTCCCCTCGCGTCCAGGTTTACCCATGCCATTGCTTATGCAAATGATGGTTCACAGCCAAATATATAGTTTGTAGAGCCTCAGAGGATGTCTTAAACAATTGGCAGCTTGATCCCATTAAGTGTTTACAGCAGCCCTGAGATCTAAGCCCCGTTTATAGAAACAGAAACTTGCTTCAAAGAGAAAAACAGTAAGTAGCTAGTCAGTGGGTGCTCCAGGCTTGATGCTCAGTCTGCCTGCATTCTACACCCTGTGGTCAGTGTTAGGTGCTCAGAGCTGGCATTCAGCAGCCATTGTAGCAAAACCCACCCAGCCTGTTCGAACAGCGAGCATCCTGCCTCCTTGACCCACTATTGTGGTGGTCCTTTCTTCTGCTCTGTAATTTCTTTGCTTTGCCCGACAGGGAGAACAACTTCATCAAGGACTTTCCCCAGCTGGCGGATGGACTGTTGGTGATCCCACTGCCTGTGGAAGAACAATGCCGGGGGGTCCTCTCCGAGCCCCTCCCAGACCTCCAACTGCTCACGGGTAAGACACAACTTTCAGGCCTCTGCCACTAGCCACAGCCTTTTCATGTGTGAGCTACAAGAACACGCTAGGATACTGCAGCCTGGTCAGTCTTCTCCTTCGAGAAGGATGGACTATGAGCAGGGCTCTGCTTTGTCTTGGGCCACTGCTCAGAACCATGTAGAAAGAGGGGCTTAAGGAAAGCCCACTGGCTGGCCAGGACCTACTTCATAAGAGGCACCTCCTGAGAGCAAGAACAATGTTCCAGCTTTTTTCAGTGAGGTTTGGCCTGTATCCATGCATCAAACCACTTTCCGTTCAAGTGACATTTTTTCTGACATTTCAACACCTCCAGTAGTTTGTTTTCTTTGGTTATTTAAAAATCATTCAAGAGTTAAATCAGTGGATGCTTATATCACGACTTTCTCCAGTTGGATGCATTTGAGTTTTGTGACTTATTATTTGTATGTGGCCACTAAGCCATTTGTTGGCTGAGTTTTATTTGTCTGAATTTGAGAGTAAGGATCTAGGTTCCAAAAAGCCCAATGCCATCCGAGGCTAGACCCTGCTGAAGAGTGCTGTGCTTTTGTCCTTCACATGACCTTGTCATTGTCACAACCATACCTTCAGGCTCTCCTGAAGTTCCAGAGTTTTATGTCTCAGCCAAGGGTATGTTTCTTCTCTTCTTTGTCTTAGCCAAGATTTTCTGCCACCTTCTTTTTGGGAAGAGGTGGTGGGATTGATTTTTTCTAAGATAAGTGGACGTGGACTCTATTTTGGTGATAACTAACCAGATTGACCACCCTCAAGAATGATTGAATCTTTTCGATTAGAGAAAGATTGTCTCACAGAAATGATCCTGCAATGTGACAGACACCCCCATGACTTGTAAGCTCTGAGTGGCCAGGAGCAAAAAATCTTACCACCATGAGCCTTTTCTGTAACTGGTGTAAATAGAGGAGACCCCCACATGGGTCGACGGTGTCCTTGAGAGGCAAGGGCATTTCTGTTTTTCAGCCTGCAGCCTGCATGATCCTGCAAGAATGTTACTATTCTGCTTTCTTGTGGCTAAACTGCTATAAACTCCTCCAAGGTTACCAGGGTAGTGTCACTGTGCAGGGGGATGTGGTGAGTAGAATGAGAATCAGGGTCATTTCATCCCTATTAGGAAGCTGTAATGACCAAACTTAATGCTCAGGTTCAATCTGGACTCTGCAGGAGAACTTCAAATAATACAGCCATGGCCCCAATGTCAAGAACCTAACATATTACAGAACTGTACATTCCAGGTGAGAATCCCAGCTAAGCCAGGGCCAACAGTAACTGAAGGGTGGGATAACGGCCACTTACGAGGGAGACCCAGGGATAGAATGAGGAGCAGTGAAGATGGTTTCATAAATTGCTCCAAAAGCAGAAGGTACCTCCCCCTTTGAAAACCACGTCACAGAAGGAAAAGATGCTTTGAGAGCCCACATCAGAAGGTTCAGTTTTCTCCTGTCAAAAGTGGGGCTCCCTTGTTGATTACTCCTTCTCAGCAACAATAGCTGTGAACATGGCTAGGCAGTAGTGGATGGGAGAAGCAGTAGAGTCTACTTGCTCTTTGGTGTCTAGGACTCCCGTAGGAGACTAATCTCTCAGCTCCAAATCAGGTGCACAGTCTTCTCTTTCCTTCTTCCATTCCCTCTCTCTTTCCTCCCAGAATCACATAAAAAGCATAGGCAAGACAGAGCAGATAAACAGAGAAGACATATTTATAGCTCAACGTTCTCACTCCAATGGACATGTCTTAGGGGATCATGAATATTTTACTTGAAAATGAAAGCATCTAAAATTATATTATTTCTAAAAAGGCTAAAGAGGAAGAAAGAAAAAACAGTTGACAGTAATGGACAACTTTAATACTACAGAAATGTCCAGGAAGAAATCATTTGTTCCAATGAGATTCTCATTTTAATATCCGTATCAAATATCTTTAAGTGCCTTCTCACCAGGGGACAAGGGAAAAGGATAGGAAATGTGCCTGCTATTTGCAGAGGTGCAAGAAAGCGCAGATACATAACAACAACAATAACTGCTAACGTGACTAGCATTTATTTTTTAATGCATTTTTTTCATGACTATAAAGAAAAGAGAATGCAAAGCTTTGGGTGGAAATTTTAGAATGGAGATAGATCAAATCAGGAAGTAGGATTTTTTTTAATGTATTTGCTGCCCAGTGTTAACTGCTTGCCAAAATGTTTGTTGTGTTTCTTCTTTGTTTACATTTTGTCTTGACAATGCCTGTGATTTCTGAAACGCATTCTATGAAACAAACATTCTTAATTTTCCCTCTTCATAAAAGAGGCTCTGTGAGCAACACCACCTTCACAGAGACTTACAGTATATTTTAATTGCTGTAATATGCTGAGAATTAAAAAGTTGAGTTTGTTTAGCCAGTATTTCTCATGTATTTGAATTAGGGAAATGTATGTAGGTATACAGGTTTGTCACACAGTGCTTATAAACATCCATGTTAACAACCAATGGTCTACAGCAGGGTCAGCAAACAGAAAGGGATGGGAAAGACATTCATAGGGATTTTTAGAGTGTTTTCTGCTGTAACAGTTAGCTCTGCTACTTAGTGCCAAATCTGCTGCCAAGACTGTGAAACAAATGGGTTGAAAAATATGGCCCTGACCCTGGTCCTACAAGCATAGAATTTTTAGTCTCTAAAAGAGCTTTCTTTTACCATCTTCAAGTCCCACACTATGCCCGTAAGATAAGAGAAGCACAGAGAGTTGTAATACCAGATGGGAAATCTGAGATAATGCGATGTCTAATGTCCATGACAAGTTGCAGATGCATTTATGTAGGTGGGATATAAGTTTGACCTTTTGCACGTAAGGTAGAGGAGGGACATTGAGAGCCCAAGGAAAACCCAGAGATGTGGCTGAGGAGCACCGTGGTGGAGAATGGCTGGTGTCATTGGTTCTAGCAAAGCAACAGTCAGAGCCCAGACCAAGCTTCTCCTCGTTTTGAAGAGGTGGGCAGAACCCAGGACTGCAGTGTGTGCATTGAGGTAACCATTCTGAACTCTGAGCTCAAACTCCATCTTATTTCTGCCTCTAGGAGATATCAGGTATGACGAAGCCATGGGTTACCCCATGGTGCAGCAGTGGCGTGTCCGGAGCAACCTGTACCGAGTGAAGCTGAGCACCATCACGCTGTCAGCAGGTGAGGACTACCGGTCATCTGGCAAGCAAAGGACTCATGGGCCCTCCATACATGATCTCAAGGCTTAGCCCTTGCTGTATGGATGCTGTAAGAATGGAGGAGCGTCTAGGTAGGACGGCACAGCAGGCAGTGCCATCAGCACGCTGCAGTAGGGACAACACAATAATGGGACAGTGTGACAAAGAAGGGGCTTCCTAGAGGAGGAAATGTCTGAGTAGAGCGAAGAAGTACGATAACAGGGAGAGAAGAAACAGTCGCCTAAGCAATGTTTGTGTTCTGGAAGTATTTCTGGCTTGTGATTGCTTCCTCCCTCCTCAGTTCTCTCTCTATCCCCTTCCTTGCCCATCTGCACCCAGCAATAGCTTGTAGCTCCACTCTGCACCACCACGTACACACGCACCACCATATACACACACACCACCATGTACACACGAACCACCATTTACACACGCACCACCATGTACACACGAACCACCATGTACACACGCACCACCACGTACACACGCACCACCACGTACACACGCACCACCATGTACACACATACACAAACACCACATGTACACACGTACCACCATGTATACGTGCACCACATATACACACGCATCACCACGTACACACGCACCACCATGTACACAGGCACCACCACGTACACATGCACCACCATGTACACACATACACAAACACCACATGTACACACGTACCACCATGTATACGTGCACCACATATACACACGCACCACCACGTCCACATGCACCACCATGTACACACGCACGACCTATTCTTTATCCGTGTGAGCCCTGACTTCCAGTAGGCAGGGCGCTCTGTACTTTTTGAGATGGGGCATGTTTGTTCGTAACTTTGCACTTGCTGTGCCTCCCGCCTAGCTATCCCTGCCTGAGGTGCGCACACTAAACTCTTGGCGCCTCCTCCACTCTTCATTCTTCAATAAACAAATCAAGTAATTTCAGGTATTGGAATACCTCCAGGAAAGTACTAACAAGTACTTGATTCATGTCGAAATTATGTCTATCTAGCCCTCTGACCAGAGAACTGGGGCTAAGAATGATCTGTTTATCCCGATATCTCCAGAAACTAACAGAGAATCAGCACATTGTTGGTGTCCACATTTGATGGGCGAAGAAGATAAATAAATGAAAACTGGAGAGTAAGCTATTGAACAAAGATCCCTGGGAAGAGGAAACCTGGCCTGGGGTTGTCCACTCTGGTTCTGGCAGCCCTGTCACCAGCTTGTTGTTAGTGTGTCCCCTAATTATCTCTTGAGTTCTTCTCTGTTTCATTCCTTTTTCTCAGTTCCATTTTGTTCATTTGCAAAATGGAGCTCTTTCATCCTGGGGCAGGGAGGGCCTAACCCTCCGGGAAGTACACACAGTGATTGTTGCTGACATCTGTCAAGCATGTTATAACATTTCTTGTCTGTGGCTTGCAGCAGTTCTACAAGGAAAGTAATAATTTAGCCTATCCATCATCAAATAAAGGAACTGGAGATCAAAGAGGTTAAGTAACCAACCCAAGGTCACAGAGCTAGTAAGCAGCAGAAGAGAAAAGGGAACCGGGATTTGATTGCATTTTTGTCTGCCTGGCTGAAGAGCCATAGGGCATCTCCCAGGCACTGTCATTTATTACTTAACAGAAACCATCTCATTATTAATCCTGCTGTATTAATTACCCAGTTGCACGAGTTAACAGGTTGATGGAGAGAGAGTGTTCTAATCAAGCACCCTTTCTTTGAGTCCTATTTCTGTTTCCCCACCACCCCCTCACCCTGCACTTGTGAATATAACTGTGATGTTCCTGTTAGGACTACAAAGGTGTACCTGCTTTAATTAATCAGTAATGATGTTCCTGGAAGCTCCTTGTAAATCAAATGGTGGCAAATTGGAGCTCATTTTCGACGTTGGAGAGGTGCTTGCTCTTTGATGTGGCATTGGTGTTCTTATAATAACCATGGCTGGTTGTTTGCTGTGTGCCAGGAGTTGCGGAGTGCCTGACTGGGGTGGGTATAGGAAAGATGTATTTGCAGATAAAGAGACAGAGATGGAGGGCTTCTATCTATAAATATGCCAATTCTTCAGAGTGTGAGGAGAGATTGTTTGCCCCGCACAGGAATAGGTGAAAAAGGCTTCTAAGAAAGGGGTGACTTCATGCAATCTTTCAGCATGGGTGTGTCTTGGGACGGGGTAATCTCATATATGGAGACAATGCAGTCTTATAGTCAGTATGTAAAGGAAGGGTGATAGAAAGCCCAGGTCCCAGTAAAAGACAAATAAGGAAATAGGAGATAACCCAGACATTGCTGTAGGCCCAGATATGGTCGTGGAATTTTATCCAGTGGCAGGTAGGAGTACAAGAGGGCATTTAAGGATTTGGTACATAGGAAATTTTAGAGGAAGCGTAAATGATATCCAGGAGAATGAATGGTGAAAACAGCCTGGGACATTTGTCTGGACTTCACTTGTAATATCAGCACAAGTCTACCTACAGTATGCTCCATATTCCCCCAGTTGATGGGAGAAACAGGGAGAGCATTCACAACAAGTGCAAGCATTCGGAAGGATTCGGCCTTCAAGGCAGATGTGGAACTCAGAGAACCTTTCCCTATATTTGCTTTTCCCTAAGTTTGAAAATCAGAGCAGCAGAGATTTGGGGTGGCATTACTTTGTCTGGAATGCCCCAATGAACTCCCCGTACTAGAGCTGAGCTGGAGGCTTTGGGGCTGAATGGTGAGGGAACCAGTCTCCCATTGCAGGAAGACCCTGGAGGAACAGGAAGTGGAGGGAAGTGGGAATAGCAGCTCCTGAGACATGGCTCTGGAGGCCTTGTGCTAGGTATAGCAGGGTACTGAGACAGCACAGCAGGCAGCGAGAAAACTCCATGGCAACAGAAAACAATCCACTGTCTCAGGAAATAAGGGCAAAAGTGGACAGGAAGGTGATGGAGCAAGAAGCGTGAGCACGTATGGAATCTCTACTGAGACAAATGTAGCTCCAGGAAGCCACTTGAAGTAACAACAAAAGTGTTTGCGTGCAGCTCTTGTAGATAGAGGGCTAAGATATGTCGCTCACAGTCTTTCAGCTTTGGCTTCTCATCAGGTTAATGGGGGTGTGGTGGTCAACATGGCAGTATTTGAACTAAGAAAGTGAAAACCACTAGTGGTCTACCTGCATGCATCAGCTGTGCAGCAAGTAGGCATCAGCAGCATCAAGGATCATCATGTACATTGGCAAGTCATTCTTTTCTGCCAAGTCCACTATGCCATAGTGCCCAGCAGTGAGAGCCAGTCCTTGCTGTGAGCGTGTAAGGCTAGAGTTGCCAGGTGCTGCTGTGATGAGGACAAAGGCCATGAACTCTGATTGGAAGGGGTCCTCACCAGGATATCATTTTTTGGCTGCCAACTTCTGAAGTCTAACCGCTCACACAAGCTGCTCTCTCTCCAGGCTTCACCAATGTCCTAAAGATTCTGACCAAAGAGAGCAGTCGGGATGAGCTGCTGTCCTTCATCCAGCACTACGGCTCCCACTACATCGCAGAGGCCTTGTACGGTTCTGAGCTCACCTGCATCATCCACTTCCCCAGCAAGAAGGTCCAGCAGCAGCTGTGGCTCCAGTATCAGAAAGGTAAGCCTGGGAGTGGGCTGGCTGGAGGTGACGGCCAAGTATGGTGCATGGGGAAGGCAACTGAGGCGACAATGGAGCCTCGCCAGATATGCATCCTGTTCTCCTACCGTAAACTGTGCGGCCTTTGGCAGTTCCCGGACCTCCTCTGAGCCTCGCTTTACCTTGGTCAGGGTGAGGAAACATGCTATCTTAAGAGTCTTTCAGCCAGGTATTTAAACTCTTTTATTATACTGTAGGCTTTTTTTTTCTTTTTTTTAATTAATTAATTTATTTATTAAAGATTTCTGTCTCTTCCCCACCGCCGCCTCCCCTTTCCCTCCCCCTCCCCCAATCAAGTCCCCCTCCCTCGTCAGCCCAAAAAGCAATCAGGGTTCTCTGCCCTGTGGGAAGTCCAAGGACCACCCACCTCCATCCAGGTCTAGTAAGGTGAGCATCCACGAAACTGCCTAGGCTCCCACGAAACCAATAGGTGCAGTAGGATCAACAGGACCGCGAGGGGTGCACCCATACACTGAGACAATGGGGATGTTCTATCAAGAACTCACCAAGGCCAGCTGGCCTGGGTCTGAAAAAGCCTGGGTCAAAACTGGTCTCGCTGAACATAGCGGACAAGGAGGACTACTGAGACCTCAAGAACAATGGCAATGGGTTTTTGATCCTACTACTGTAGGCTTTTTTAAACCAAGCCTTCCCTTGGAAAAGCTGCCAAAGAAACAGGCAGAGGATAGGGAATGATGTCTCTATGTTGCCTTCTCTTTGGGCTCTTTGGGAGAAGGCAGGAAAAACTTTCGCTTGTTCAAGTCTGGGGCACAAGTGTCCTCCACAGAGGGATTGCTTTCCTCGTGAAGGGTCACCACATCTTAAATTCCTCTGCTTCTCAGCTGTCAGAAGATTTTGAACTTCTGTAGTCTAAGGTGGTCTAGTGCAGAAGAATAGTCACTGCCATTGAGCTCAGGAAAGTCATTCCCGTATGCCATCAGTGTCCCCTTCCTGTGAAATGTGTACTTGGATAACTATTCCCATCTACCTAGCACTTGTAATGGGGGAAGTGACTTACACACTAGCATTTTACAATGTTGGAAATATCCCATGTATGTAATGGTATATTTATTATACTTTGTCATATGTATCTGTGTGTGTCACATGGGTGTTTACATGGGTATATATGTGGGCATGTGTAAATGTGCATTCATGTGTGAAGTCCAGAGACTGACATCTGAAGTTTACCTCAATCACTCTCTACCTTGCCCATCGAGGCAGCATCTCCCAGACAGCCCAAGTTCGCTTATCCAGCTAATCTAGCTAGCTAACTTACCTGGGCACCCCCTTCTCTACCCTCCTTGTGCTGGATTAGAAGCAGCTGGCTATGACTGCCCAGAATTTATATGGTGCTAGGGATTCAAACCTTGGTCTTCATGCTTTCTTCTTGTACAACACTTTAACCATTACGGTATCACCCAGGCAGCATATATACATATCAATATGTCATTGTACTTGAGAAGTGGCCTCTCCGACTTGAGAAACCCAGTCTCAGACATGAGGACCTAAGTGCCCGTGGAGACACTGCTGCTGAATAGTAGGGCCCGTGTTGGAAGTCATAGTTCTAACTGGCTGGTTACAAAAACTATTTTCTTTCAGTTTTATTTCTTTCATTCTTTCTTTCACTCATTCTTTCTTTCATTCATTCTTTCTTTCTTCCTTCTTTCCTCCCTCCTTCCCTCCCTCCCTCTCTCTCTCTCTTCCTCTCTCTCTCTTTACCTTTCTCTATGCCTCCTCCTCTCTCTTTCTTCTCTGATACATTAAAGTACTTTCTGTTATAGTTAATACCATTGATTGTTAGATATTGTGAGGATTGCTAATACAAACCTGCCCGCATCTTCTCCACAGGCTCTGCATCCTAATTCCAGGAAACCCATATGTCATAACCACAGACCACAGAACACCAGCCTTGGAGTTCTCATGGAACTCAGCTCTCCAGTTTCCACTGGAGAAATTAAGGCTCAATGAGACAGGAAAGACTCATCACACAGCCCCATGTGACAGGGCCAAAGCAAAGCGAAGCTGCATCATGTCATCCTTCAGAGCTCGCCAGCTGCTGACTATGCCTGGGGAGAGGGAACCCCTGAATGTACCTTGGCCAGATCTGTAGCCTTTCATTCTGCCTCTAGGGGTTTTGTATCCCCAACTCTGTGTGCACCACTGTCTGCTTCCTGTGTGCAACTGAGGGGGGGCATGGGTGGTTTATAGGCTCAGAGGACATAATTGAGTTGTCAGGGAATAGCTCGGTTTTATAGCTGTGACAATGACAGTCTTTAAGGAAGTGCATTAAATCAATAGAAGTCTCATTGTGCCACCCTATAAATAATGAGACACATCATTAAGCAAGGCCATAAGCTTCAGGACTTTGAAGTAATACAATTAGGTTATGTTTATAAAAACTCTCTCTCACTGTGGCCACTGAACTAATTTACTTCCTGCCACATTCAGGGTCTGGGACACTACTGTGATACTAAATGTCATCCCATCTCTATCCTTGGTTGCTTTCAGGGCTTAGACTTCTTTGATGAAGAACATCTCATTCTTTGTAATAGAAACGGAATCTATCACAAGAAAGATAAGAAAGGGAAGAGGGTAGAAAAAGCTGACACAGCAACTGGAGGCCCCAGCCCATGTCCAGGACTGAACGTCTGGTGCTGTAGCTTGGCATCTCAGGGCGTCCATTCTGCTGATACTTTTCTTCTGTATTTGTTCCAAGAAGAACATGCAGATACTCGGAAGCCAAGATAACTGTTTTCTATGTTTCTTTCTCTATCTCTACATGCTACAGCATATCAGAAGTCTTCAGTTAGCTTATTTTTTATAATAGGGAATAATACAAGAGACTGGGAGGTTAAAAGCAAGAAAAAAGACACTGGGAACCCTTTGGATTCAGAGATAATTGATATGATTTCTCTTCCAAGGCATCAGTAACATAACATTGTCTTCTAAACGCCGGGGCTTGGGGTCAGGTAGGTATGGACTTTGGGCAGATAACTGGGAGCAGAGCTTGTGGGAAGAGGCACTTGGGCAGCAACGAAGTGGGGCACATCTGGACTCCTTCTTCTTCTTCTATACCCTCTGCTTAGTAGCTTCCAAGTTTTCAGATTCCTCATGCTAAACAAGATAGTAATTCTTTTTCGTAACTTTTAGGCAAATGAGATGAAATAACACAGGTAAAATTTCCAAAACTCAGTGGGTGCAGGAAAAACAGTAGCTTGAAATAAAGTGAAAACTATAAACATCAGCTAAAGATCCGAGACCTGGCTGCAGCCCTTCCTAATGTGTGACCTCAACCTCTGCTTTGGGACTAAAACAAAGTTTCATAGTCAGCTGGGCACCCGTTAAAATCTCAGGCATACACTTGGCCACTTGTGTGATCGTTAGCAAGTTGATTCCCTCTCAGTTTCCATATTTGCAAGCAGAGTAGCTGTGTAGTCTGTATAAGAAAATAGGTCTATGAAGAGATGTGTCTAGCGCCGAGCCGGAGCTCATCCAGATGCTCCCAACTCCCCACTTAGAGTACAGCCTTCCCGGGTGTGTATTCAGAGCTGTGAACTGGGGTGTGTAGAAGAGATGTAACTGAGACTTCACTACCACCGCTTGTCAGCTGATATAGGATCAGAAATGGTTCTGATTGGTCTAGAGTGGGGAGTGACCTACCTGGTGAGTTCAACTTCAGTATTAGAACTGGCTGTGGAGATGGGCCAGAGAGGAATCAACCAGGGTTTGTGACTTTCTACTATGTACTAGACTGATGGATACATAAATTACCAGTCCCATGGGATGGTTTATGGTCATCTTTTATTTTGTACAGATAATGACATTATAAAGGATGGATATGAATATGGGATATAATTGTTGAACCTCTGTGAATGAACAGAGAGAAGGAAAAGGAGGAAGAAGAAAAGAAGGAGAGACAAAAGTAAATCCAAGTCCAAAGAAGTAGAGAAAGTCTAGAAGCAACTCATGAATAGGCATCTTCTGAGCATAAGGCCTCCAAGACCTTTGTCCCCTCTGAAAGAATAATCTGTTCACATATGCAGTTTTTGAATTTTCTTGAATTCATAGTTTAGAAAGATGTCCCCAGAGATAAACACCCATTTTAAAGGTGTTTTTAGCTCTACTGTAATTTTCTGGGAAAATTCTAAGGAATGCATTGCCATCTGAATTACCATGTACTTCTGAATGCCAACTAGAATATTCCTGGGCTACTTTTTGGAAAAGTCTTTGGCTGTTTGAAAGTCAGATGCAGGCATCAGGTTGTGGGGAGGGGAATACCAAGATGTAGTTAAATGTCACTTCTTCTTGTGCTGACGAGGTGTGGCCAAGAGCTGTTGTGAACTAAAGAAGTCTCCAGTGCTCTCTATTTCCTGAGGGAACTTTCTTCAAAGACAGCAAGGAGACATGAAAGGGCTTATTCTCAGGATCTGAGACCTCCGGGGTGCCAGCTGACTTTCCCAGTGATTTCATAACCTGGGGCCATTTTTCCTTCTTGCCTGACCTTTCTGTAGCATTTGACAGTCTACTGCCTCCAGCTTGATGCATTTCTGTGCTGTGTGCATAAAACCAGATCTTTGCATGTTCTCTCTTCCGCCCTCTTCATCTTCCTTTGCAGGCATATCCTACTCTGCTAAGCCAGTAAGGCCGAACAGGAGGCATGTCCTTTTGGTCCCTTTTTCTGGACTATCTATCTCTGTGTCAATCAATCTATTACGTTCTTTGTTGTCATCCCTACACTATGGCCTCACCCTATCCCTGACTTCTATCTCCTTATCCAAGCCTCCCTCTGAGGATTGCTATCCTGCTTGTTCTCCCACAGCACACATGCAACTCCATACAACCCTGGGCTGTCCTAGACTTCTAGTGAAAAGTGCCATTACTCCTTTAGAGGCAGAGCCAGGCCTGGGAAACCTCAGCACCTCTCTTACCCTTAATTATCTAGCCCATTTCCAAACTATCCC